TGAACTTTAAGTGATTACACTTCGGACAGAATAATTAGAAAATCTTTTAAAGTCTATTCGATAGAATATATAACCTTCAATATATTTAAAGCTTCTTGCGAGTAGTTTTTGATGTGATAAGTTTTTATGGCTACAGAATTCTTTTTTATATATTTGTTATCATCCTTATTCAGAACTGTCGGGTTGATTTTCCTTCACATAATGGGGGAATCGTAACCTCTTTCGGCGTTGGCTGTTTACTGATTTAATTCTATATAAGTACTAATGCTATTCCTGTGATACCACAATGGACCATCATTTGAGCTCAAATGGGCTTTTTTGGAAACAAAGCCGCCACTCCAACCTACCTACCTGCCTATCATGCATAATATTGAAAATAAGCACTTTTATTCTCACAAAAATCGAATTGAATACTTCCTGCTGTTTTCTAATAGTTTAACACCTTTTTAAGAAAAACAATTGGTCTATTTTACCCAGGGACATCCTTTTAAGGTTTCCAGACATATTATATAGGTAGTTGTATACTTTGAGTATCGTTTTAATAACTTACGATATTGTGTGTTATCTTCATTTTTACTTTCTTCTTTTTGAGGCCCTCTCTTTTCGCAGTTTCAACTTTTAAAGGCACGAATAAAGCTATATACAAAGATATTTTCTGTTTGGAGTACATATCATACAATATTAATATTTTTGCCCTTTTCAAGGACTACAACGATGATATTAAAATGCGAACGCGTAACTTTTTCGAACTATATCTTCATTCCTCTTTTTCTGTTGTATTGCCCTCAACATCCTTAGAGTATAGGAATAGACGTTTCGTTTATACCACGTTTTGTGATATAATCAAGTGATATAATCAAGTAAGTCCTGATATATCAAGCGGTTTTGATAACTGATTTTTGTTCAACAGAAATCTTGTAAAACTTAACGACATTTATTAACGAATCATTATTTTGTATCATTATAAAGTAAATTTTTAACCAGTTTTAAGAATTATGCATCCTTTTTTATAAAAATGTCAACAATTGCTTTACCAACACTAATGTTGTGCTTTTTCAATATAATGTTAATAACATTATTTAATATTAGTAAGCGCCTTCTAAAGGTAGATACTTTAAATCATCAAAATAAATTTTATCCATAAGGCATCATCTCTCAGACTAAAAACATTTTTTTCACATAGAAAGCTTCTTTATTTGTATTATGTTGAAGAAAACAAAGGATGTCATTCGTCCTAATGTACCATGGTACCTTGAAAAGTGTTCTCAGATCATAGCTATGTGCAATTTCTAGCTGGCCAATAGTAGTGTTTAAGGGCTGACTGAACGCTACACATCCATATAGAAGTGATGGTCGAATTATTTGGTTATATACCAGTTTCAGCTTTCTGTATTTGTACTAAATTTATTTAAATCGTAAATAGTTACTTCTAAAACTATAAATACACAACCGCGAAGCTAATATTTCCTTAAAGGGGAACTAAGGTACACTCTATTCAATTCTGGCGATGTAATTGAAAGCAACTTTACTCTCCCATTTTAGGTAAAAAACGTAAATTATTGAAGATAAAAATTGAAAATGCGAATTGGTGAAAACTAAGGACATGAAATGTAATAGGAAAATTTTTTTTTTTTAAATCTTTTAGAATAAGTTTATATTTTGTTGTAAAAGTTATTTATTTTTTTTTACCAAATTAACTTCATTCATGAATAGTTGACATGGCAAATAAAATCTCATAGGCACAAATATATGTTATGTATATTTTAACATGTGTACTCACATGATCTATTTTAATCATCTTCCCCTGACTAAGCTGTTGACTTTCTGGCATTTTATTTGAAGAACTAGAAAGTAAGATGTTAGAAAATTAAATTTTTTTTCATCGAAATACAATCTGAAAGATATACGTCTAATGCGATTAATGCTTTTTAAGCTTGCCTATTAGTAAATAATATTAACAATGTGGAAGACTTAACACTAATATAAATCTACAGCTTGTTTTAAATTTTCCGTGGGAACGATTGTATTTCTATGGTGACTTTTAATAAGTCGACATTAATGATTACAAAACAGAAGTTTGCATTGAATATTTTTTATTTCAAAAAATTGATATAACAAACTCAATTAAAATTTAAATAAAATATATTTTAAATTTGTTTTAATTATAAAAAACATTTTTAAATTTTTATTTACCTCTGAACGGAACTTTAAATGTGATTGTTACATATGAAATTATAGCATATGGGGTCAACAAATACAACTCAAATACTCTTGCAATCAAAGATACATAGCAAATAATAATGTTCTATATAGAGTAGTATGTTATTCTATTCTAAAATAAGAACAGTAAATATCTGATTGAACCAAAACTAAAATAAAAATCTCAACCATAGTTGTTTTTTTATTGGTATTTTTTAAGTGTCAGAAATGCGACACAAATTATTTTTCATGTTTGTTTAGCAAAATTGTATTTGACCAGTGGGTGAATATATAAAAAGTAACTCGGTTACGCCATGTCGATACGTGATTTGTGCACTGTCCAACGAATCCCCAAAGAATGTTAATATTGGCTTTGAAAATTGTATAAACGAGTAAATATGTGACCGTGGATGCTGATAAAAATGTATGTTAAATAAATAAAAAAAATTATATAGTATTTTTATATAAAATAACTTTATTTGACATAGCACAAAAACAGTTTGCATTTCAATTTTAAATAGAAAATAAAATACATGAACTTCATTGTACTATATAAATATGTGTCTACATATATGTAATATAAAAAAAGTATTGACTTAATATCTCAAAGTTTAAATATAAATCATTACATTGTTTAATTAAAACATTTTTTCATAAATCAATCAGTCAACAATATCTATATTAGCAAATAAGTTTTCTTTTGTTTTATTTATTTTGAATTGAAATCATATTTTGTTTGAAAAGTAAGTAATAAAAAGATATCAATAAATATTTTTATCATATATCTAACATCAGGAAAATATAATAAAATATAAATCAAACTTTCATACGCATTGTCACGTTATGCCTATAAAAAATGTATGAACTTTTAGTGAAAGCATAACTATTTTATTTACACATAAACGATTCACTGCTGGTAACTGATTTTTATTAAAGATAGATTCAGTTGAAGCAATCAAAATACTAATTTTTCTCTCAATACCTTATACGTAAATGCAACTAAAAATATTTATGTATATAAAAAAAAATATAAATCAATTTTCTTTGTGCCGTGCTACTATGAATTTTACACTAGATTGATCAATAAGTTCGTCGAAATAAAACAATAATTATTATTATTTAATTAAATATTTGATACAATCACATTCTACTCCAAACCACTTACTACAATAATAATAAATTGATTGATCCATTCTATTTCTGTAGTGCCTTGTGGAAGTTCTCCATATATTTCAACTTCTTTTGATAAAAATCGCTGTACAGGTATGAATTTTTTGACATATAAGTAAAACCTATAGTAAAATAGAACTACATTTAATGAATAACGTAAAATGATGTTTTATTAAGCTACCACAAGAAAATGCAGTGAAAAAGTGGTGATCTGAACGCAGATCGAAAATCACAAGAGCGTGGTTTGAAATGCCAACATAAGAGAGACCCTCCTTGAAGTAATGCGAAAGCGGTTTCGAAGGGAAATAAGTCTCGCTGAAGAGGAGGTGTTTTAGAGTGTATACTATATTACATATTAGTGTTAGGGAGTCGGGCACACCAATCCGACGACGATCAGTTTGACGATCAGCATTCCATCTTCTCACCACAAACAAAAAAAGACTGCTGCTTTCTCTTAATGAGAAACGATTTTTTTTCTATTAATTAGTCATATTTTCAAAATATTTTACCTTACTGCACCAAAAGTTCGTTGTGTAATTAGAGTATTTTACAAATTACAGATAATTTACTAGTAAAATTCATTTTTTTCTCAAAAAAATTACATCTTGATCGCTTTTTGGACACGAAGTGACTTGCTAATACTACATCAAGTGAGTTGATGATTTAATAGATTGAAATAAAATTTTATTTTATTTTAATTTTTATTTAATTTTATTTATAAATTAATAATATATATTAATTAAAACTATTATGTTAATTAATAATATATATTAATTAATATATATGTTAAATTTTCTATATTTTTAACAACTTTGCTTATACTAAAAAATATGCTAATATAGCATAATAACATAATATATATTAATTAATATATATGTTAAATTTTCTATATTTTTAACTACTTTGATGATACCAAAATACCATATATAAATATTTATAAAAATATTAATTATTTTCCTTCATTTGTTATCAGTTTCTGTGCCACTTCTAATTTAATTATAAATTAATTGAAAATTAATTGAGAAAGTTAAAGGAAATTATATATAAATAAATAAACACATATAAAAAACAAATTTAAAATTATTTTAATTTAGTTTAATTAAATTTATTTGAATAACAATTCTTAATTTTGGTCTAAATATAACTAGAATTTACACTCAGGTTAAAAAAAATTCAGTTTTTTTTTTCAAACTTCTGGGTAACATTAATTTTAAGTTTAAAAAATTAAGTTTATATTTCATTCGAAAATAAATAAATAATAAACTTAATTATATAAACTTAAAATAAATGCAAAATTAAAACTCTTATAATTTTATGAATTTATATAAATTTATATAAATTGGTTCACAATTAAGAAGTTTGTAAAAAGACCAAAAAATTAAGTAATTTCATAATGAATACATATTAATAATTTAATTTAGAAATTAATCATATTTTTCGCAATAATTTAAAACATATCGAAAATAAATTAATTTTGAACCGAAAGGGTATCTCTATACTTTGTTAGTAAAGAATTTAAATTGAATTAAAAATTTGACAATTAATGCTAATTAATTTCTAATTAAATTATGTAGTAATTTAAATTAAAAATTATGCATTTTTTAAAATAATAATTTAAAGCAGACCGAAATTTTGTTAATTTTAAATGGAAAAGGTTTTGTTTTTGTTTTGTTAGTGAATGTTTTTAAAATTTAAAGTTTTTAGGTTTCTGGATCAGCTGCTCTATCATCTATTGCAGCTTTGTTGAAATCAGTTTTGGAATCATCGATTCCACCTTCATATTCTTTGTCATCAAAACTCTTCATGACACCACGATTGTTGTTAGCAGTATTGTTATAAGGTTCATTAACATAAGACTTTATGGGCCCGGTGTCATATGGTGTAGGTGTGAAAAAATTTGGATTCATATTAATAAATGGACGAGGAAGACGACGTTTCTTAGCCTCCACATTTAGTTTGTGACCGTGGCCATCACTGCTGGGAAAGTATATAGGCTGTAAAATGTAAACTTGTAAATATAAGAGATTTGAAAAAAATGTTCGTAAAAACTTACGCGGCTAGATAAACAGTTTTTAACCGAATTTATACTTTCAAAAGTTAAAAACCCGTAATTAAATGGATTACGGCTGTTTGGAGGGTTATGTATAACTCTTAGATCTATAATTGCACCAAACACTTGAAATAATGATATGATATCTTCATTTGTAGCATTTGGTGGTATGCCGCCTATGAAAACTTGCTGTTTGTCTTCTTGAGTTCTTTTAATATGTTTAACTTCAACTAAAGAAAATTAAATTATTCTTTAAAATTATTGCTAAAATATTTCGTCAATAGTTTAATTTCAAATTCATTTAATGCAAAATATATTTTTAATTAAATTTAATTTATAGTTTTAATGTTTTATTCCACGCAATTCGAAAGTTCCTTGAATTAAAGGAATAAGAACTGAAAATAAGTAGGAACTACTTATTCTGAGGTGACAATAGACTCTGATTATATTAAATAGATTATAAAATCTATCAACTTACTTTTTGCGGCTTTAGCATTCCGAGTGTAAACATTATCGTAAACAATCGGTTTATTTGCGCGCTCTCCCAAAATATTATCATATGGTGGGCAGGGAATATTTCTTTCCTTCGTAAACGGCATACTACTACCTAGCGCAGGATTCATCTGAAAACCATCACCTGCTGAATCTTCGATGGGACTTGGATTCATTGATAATCTATCAGTATTTGTATCAATAAATCCGCCAGGCACTACATCCGACGAGTTTGAAATTAAATTCATGCTAGGAATAAAGCCACCATCCATATTTTCAATACATGCATTTGTAGTTGATGTGGTGTTCGGATAGTAAATGGTTTGCATTGGTATTATAAAATTTTTGTCGGGAATATTTGGAATACCAGGAAACATATGGCTTCTTGAAGGTATAATAAAAGTATTTTGTTCCGGTATATGATTGGGATCTATCATAACTGATTGCGTTTGCGGTAAATACTGAATTGGTTGTTCTCCTGCAATAACATTTTGGCCAATTTCGTATAAATTCATAGGCATCTGTTCAGGTGGTTTCAGATTTAGTAGTTCTGGGAGCGGTAAACTTAGACATTTATTTGCAAGCACAGCTTGTAATTCATCATCTTTCAAAAAACAACTATCCTTGTCAAATATATATATCGGACCACAGAAAAAATCCTTAAAACGAAATATGTCATTAAATATGTAGTACTGTCTAGAATTCCGTTTGGCTAGAACAAATGTTTGAATGAATGGGCGCATAGGTCTTCCAGATTCCGACATTTCTCCATTCACGATTACAATTATGCTGTTGTTGACAGATGCCTGTGCGTTGATTTTAGCCACTTTTGTTCGGCAATCAGTTACGCGAAGTTCCTCAAAATATTTTCTTATTGGTTCTATCCCATAAATCGGTGCATCCAAACTACGCCTAATGGTTGACTGGTTAGTATAGTATTTAAATAGTTTGCTGGGACTTGCGTTTAACATGGTGTAGTACTGACGCACAAATTCATTTCCAATCAGAAGTGGTGATGGTGGAAGAACTTTTGGCTCTTCCATAATGGCCATTTCCATAATCTGAATTATAAAAAATACTAATCCTATAGTAGATAAATTTTAAATTGTTGGATTACAATTATATAAATTATTTGTTTTAATAAAAATAGTATATATGTTACACATATGTAAATAAAATTTTACCTAGGCTAAATGGAATACCAATTCAAAGTGAAGACGGGGCTTTTCAAAATTAAATAAACTCCAAAATCTAAACCTAAAAACAATACATATTTTTTTACTATATAATATTAATATTATTGTGTTTAATAATTCTTACCTTATAATTCGCAAAGAAGATTTAATTGGATCAAAAATGAATATCGAAGATAATTGTTCAGAAAACGTCAGGTTTCGTAAATCTTCAATTTAGCTCAATCAAAACTAAATGAAAAAATTTTAATTATAAAATTGAATATTTCTATATACAAATTAATCTATAATTAATAGTTTCTAGCTAATTTTTTTACATATAAAATACTTAAGTATAGTAAATTTTTTCACAGAAATTGTAAAACAATACTAAAAATTTGGAAAATTTGTACAAACTTCACTGCTTCAATCTGTCAAATATTGTATTTTGACAGACAATGTCAAATTTTATATTTTGACAGGCAATACATTTTATATATTTTAATAAAAAGGGCAAAAGTATTAAGTTTTGTAAAATATATATAGTAAAAGATTATTTAAAATAATGTCCACCAACATGGACCTCCAATGCAAAATTATAGTTTTCCATGGAATAGTGTTCAAAGAAGTAGTAAAGGCGCTATAAGCTTTTTAAGTTTTGTTTTTTTATAAAGTTTCAAGACAAAATCACCATATATTTAGAATTCGCTTCGGTTGTCTATATATATATTGAACTTTATTTGATCTTCTGAATGATGAATGCAATATTTCTCGTTTGTCTTTCATAAAATTATCACAACAAAATATTTCCTATTAATTTCTTACTTGAATGTCTTTAAATTTTAAGTTTTGTTATATATATTACGTTACTTACTCAGGAACGCAAGGCGTAAATTATCTGATGAAATCGAAAATGCTATCCTTTGAATATTTCTTTGAGATATAACTGTGAAAGAAATTGAAACGTTCTGTTTATTATTAACACAAAACTAAATTTTTTATTTTGCTGAATTTACAAATAAAATTAATGTAAGTAAATGTCAAAACCTACTTAGTTTTTCAAAAAAAATAATTTTTTATATATCAATAAATAATAAAGAGCCATAATACCAATAAACCTTAAGTCCATCTCAGGACGCACAGGAAGATATGCTGATCTACGGACCCTCATCAATTAAATAAATGATAATAATTCTAGCATAGTTAAAGCTTAGTGTGGGGCAGGGATAAGCCCCCCAACCATAAAACATTAAAACTGCGCAATACCACTAACTCAAACCACAACAACAACAACAAAATACCAAAAAATATACGTATACAATAATTCTGAAAGCAAAAAGTGGCGAAAAATTTTCTTCAACTCTTTTTATAAAAATGATATATCAAACTTCATCTGATGCCACTTCATGTCTGTGGCACCAGATCCAAGTCCAAAAATGATTTTCCATTAAGTCTTTTTACTTTAAATCCCACCAACAATTTGTCATCGGGAAACAAAAATAGCCAGTGTTAGTTATAAGAATCCGTCATCAAATAAGAGCTATTCATGATAATTTTTTTACTTTGGCTAATGATACAGTAAAAAAATATTATCAACTCTTTTATGAGGACTCTAGTTTAGCAGTTAAATAATTTGAACTATAGCAGGACGGGTTTCAAAAACCACATTTTAATAGTGAAGAAATTAGCTAAAGAGCTTAAAATTGAACATGAACCACAAGGCTTCGATGTATTAAACACTAATCTAATAAAACTGTCTAAGACAGTATGGTCAACCAATAAACTAAATTTTTGTTCTTGTCTCTTCTTTTCTATTCGAACCTTTCTATTAGTTATAGAACTTTATTTGACTTTTATCTTCAAAAACTTAAAACCAATTGAACGATATCATTCATTAACCATTGAAAACTTTATTGAAAGAAATCTTATTAAAACCGACTAGATTTCAAACTATTTCGCCCAAATAATCTTTATAGTTAAAGTTTTATACACTTTAGCATATTTTTGCATTTTAGGTATAATTTAAAATCGCTCATTAATAAATCACAAAATTACGCCAAAAGATGTTTTCATTACAACTTATTTTGACGACCTACACAATATACGAAAGATACAAAAATAGAAAAAAACATTCATATTTAAATTTTCAATGATGAAAATTATACGCAATCACGCAAATTTTGTCCACAATTTAAATTTTTCTGTGGAAAATAGTTTAGCCAGAGGTGAAAACGAGCAAAATACCAGCACAAAGAGCTCCTTTGAATGGCAAAGAAGAAATTCTCGTGCACAGTCCTTGTTTGCTTTCTTAGCGGTTTGTCATTTGACGTTTAATTGACAGCGACACGAGTTCCATAGCCCTTGTTTCCTTCAATCGATTTTCTGCACCTTCATTTTAATATTAGAGTACCTCACCATAAATTTAGAGATTGTTATTCCGATAAAGTTTAGCGCTGCATTAGCTGCTCCGATTTGTAAAGTGTGCAGAAAGCGATTACTTCACGCAATTTTGTTTTATTAGCTTTAATAACATCAACCATTTAGTTTCAAGGCATGTCTACGGAGAACTATTTTTTATAAATAGTTTTAAGAAAGTTAAAAGTTGTAAAATCCATGGTCATGTAGAGGAAAAAATAAATTAAAATTATATTTTAAAAGTTTAGATATATCAGAAATATATTAAGTAAACAGTTCATTTGATAGCAAATATACACCCTCCGAAGGTGGTATATACTACTGACAGATTTTATATTTTTTGTTATTTATTATACAATTTTAAAATTAAAATCTCGAACTTTTATATTTCAGATGTAAATGGTTAAAGCTTTTTTCAATCTATCAATTCCTTCGTTGTTTAGTCAGTAGAAGTTGGCTTATCAAACAATAGAAGAAATTAAATTCCATGCAGTGATTAAATCATTTGAAACAACTGAAAAAATAGAAATGAATACCGAAATGATAAATTTTTTAACAGAGTTCAATTTGAAAACAATGTTTTTTTCGATTGGTAACTCTAGATTTAATCTAACATTTTTATTACCCCAAATTTATCAATCGAAAACGTGATAATGAGCAGGTCTGTTGGAAAGTGAATTTATATGCTTTCAAATGATGCATTCAAGGATGTCCAAAAACTATATAAACACCAAAATCGCCGCAGAAATATACAATTTGGTTTTAGAGAATCGTCGACAATCCGAAAAAAGAGACGATTTAAAAAGAAGCTGTATATATTTCATGCATGTTTTATGGCAAGACTGGGTTTCAAAATATATTCAAATTTGACTTTGTTTGTCACATATGGACAAAATAGAAATGATTATGTGCCGAATTTCTTCACTATAAATAAAACTTAGATCTACAGCCATGAACTTAATTTAAAACAAGATGTTAAGGAAAGATATGAACCTGGATCTGATCTTAGAACTAAACCCTAAGCGAAACCCTAAGTGATTAAAAATCGGCCAAAAAATGGTTAGCGTTAGTTTTCTGGAATGCATAAGGAGTTTTAATAAATATATTATAATTGGTTCAAATCTTAAGCTATTCTGGTTTTATTTCTTTTTATTCCAATTTATATTTCTATTCTTCCTGAAAGTCTATACTAATAAATACTAACAAAATGAACACCAACAAAAGGCATTTTTTTCATAAGTAACTCCCTAAGCTGGAAAAACAATAAAGTAAGCCCTACAACCCTACATGCATTATTCGATAAAATAAGTGTATTGTTGAAGAAAATTATAGCCAAAGATGCTTTACACTTTTAAATCCATCTTGTCAGTTATGTTATGCGAACTCAATAAACAACATATTGGAGGATAAAAAAATGAACACAGACTAACTAACTGAACACAGACGGCCTAAACCATTCCAAAAAATTCTTGAATTTTGATTCCAAAGAAGCAAACATCGTTCGCAACCTAAACAAGAAAAGTCTAAACTCTCTGGTACACTGACCTACACGAAAAAGGTGTATCCGACACAAATATTTGCAGATTCTGCTGTGATGAGGAAGAGTCTATAGAACATCTGATCACCAACTGAAATGCACTAGGCCACAAAAGATTCAAAATATTAGGTGCATACCAACTAGAGAATGAAGACTTTCAAAAACTCTTTTCAAAGGAGCTGCTTCGATTCTTCGAGATACTAAATGTTTATATGCAAAGGGATGCACAATAGATCAAGCTGGTCGCAGTGCAGACAGACCTTAGCCTAAACCATTAACCATTACATTATATTAACTAACTAACATTAACGAAGAGGCTATAACTAGAAATTATAAGAGACTTTAACTAGAAACTATAAGTGGCTATAACTAGCAACTATAAGAGGCTTTAACTATAAACTATAAGAGACTAGAAGTAGAGACTACAAGAGAGTATTACTAGAAATTGTGATAGGTTATAACTGGAAACTATAAGAGACTTTAACAAGAAACTATAAGTGATTATAACTGGAAACTACAAGAGATTATAATCAAAAACTATAAGAGACTATAACTAGAAACTAAAAGGGGCTATAACTAAATGGAATAAGAGACTATAACTAGAAACTATAAGTGACTATAACTAAAAACTATGAGAGATTAAATGACCTGCTTAAGTCATTTAAGCACATTATAATACTTTTAAAGAACACAGAAATAAAAAAGAACACATTGAGATATGCCTTTGTTAGTCTTAAATAAGATAAATTGAAATTTCATTACATCCACCTTTGAATGTCATTTCCTAAAAAAAAGGAAATTTTTATAAAAAAATTTGTCACTTCTGAAATTAAATTGTTAAAAAGTTTCTTTAAAAATTATTTTAATTGTCATAAAACTAAGTTTATTGACTTCATTTTTCCGCTCACTTAATTTATTACTCAAAATTCCAAACTGACTTCACTGACTGTAAGCAAAATTTTTAATTTTAAACCAAACATTTTTCGGCTTTTAATGACTTTGTGTTTAATGTAAAAATGAAATGCGAAGTCATGATGTGCTGTTTAATAAGGATAATGGACTTGCTCATAAGCGTGGCATTAAATTTTAATTTATGCCTTACGCTACGGTAAAATGAGTTGTGATGTGTTTAATCATTTATCATTACCCCCGGTTTGCTGCCCGGCTTGCTGCAAATAATAAATGTTCTGTTTATAAAAAAATTAATACTTATGCATATAATTTTGAAAACATAAAAAATAATAATTAATAAAAAAATAAATAATTAACAGAAAAATAAATAATTAAAAAAAAAATAATTAAAAAAAAAAATAATTAAAGAAAAATAAATAATTAATAAAAAAATATTAATAAAAAAAAAATAATCAATAAAAAAAAAAAAATTAATAAATAATAAATTAAAAAAACAATTAACAAATAATAAATAAAATAAATAATTAATAAATAATAAATAAAAAAATTAAAAGTGCACCACTTAATAACGAAAAAGGCAATTGCAAAAGCAAGACAGATATATTTAGTAGTGCAACTGTATACGATCGAACAGAAGACTATCTACAAAAACATACACTTTTAAGGTTAGGAAGTCACAAAACAAAATAACAGAAACTAATCTTTGCCTATTATAATCCTAATACGAAGCTATCTAATTAGTAAAAATGCTACTAGATCCCGATGTAAATCTGTCGATAGGTACAATCAAGCAAAAGTGTTCAGAGAAATATATCCTAAAGAATCTTACAAAGATATTGAACCGATTTACTGAGTGGAAGAAGTTAATTACAATCATACAATAGAAAAAGATACAATTAGTTAAATCTCTAATTGTATCAAGGATTTATTATGAATCCAGACAGTTCATTTCGCCGAAAGAGTTAAATTAAAGTTATTATTTATTATTGTGAAGCTAGTTGAGTCAGTGCACTTGAGCACTTTTATTCTCTATCAACTGTGAGGTTTCTTCAAAACCCATCTCTACTTGTTGACTGGATTATTGTTTATCACTTCATCAGACTAAGCAATTATAGACCTCAGATTTGTATACCTCCCCGAGGAGCCTGTAACCATTCTGAGATTCGATAACGCGGTGTTGCTAAGTCTGTCAGTTTTCTTAAATAAATTATAGATAACAATAAATATCTATTATAGCTTAGTTTTCGAGAAATAAAAAATAATACCAATTACATCAATCCAAAACAACTATTTCTATTTTCATATACTTTGAAAACAATTACTTTTTATTTACATAATTTTAAATTAAAAATATTTTCTAATTTAAAGTTATATTATTAAAATATTTTCTATTCTTTTATCTGGCATAAAGCGTGACCCGATTTTTAATAGAAGATACTTTATATTATATTATTTCGCCTGCAATGCACAAGGACATCTATCCTTTATTAAATACTCGTTTTCACCTGCCTGCGCCATTTTAAGGGCGCATTTTTGTAAGTTTGTAATATTCTCTTTTGTTGGTGGGGAAAAATTACGAAAGTATAAAAATTGTTTGAAAACAATGAACTTTAAGAAGTGAACTACTACTGCATTGCAATGCGGCATATTTCAAGGAATAACTCAGTCACGAGCTATTTTAAATTTTCAAAAAAATAGAAACTTTTTTAAATAAATTAATATCGCAGTTTTTAATAGAGAAAAATAGAGGAAATTCAGTTTTAATTTTTAATTGAAAGCGAGATTAAAGTTATCTTTAATTAAATACATTTACTCATATATGAGTATATACGAAATTTAAATTTATTTCTAAGGTTTTTTAAATAAAAACTTTTTTGTATTGAAAATTATATTATACGTTGCTTATTATAAGCTCAAAATTCTGTCGAATAATATTAATAGTCAATTGGGGTTAACCAGTACCTTGTGAGAGTTAAACAATCCCTGACTTAAACTATCCTAATAACCAGTATCTGACTTATAACCAGTACCTTGTGAGAGTTAAACCATCCCTGACTTAAACTATCACACCACTTTGCTTATCAAAATATATTCAAACACTTATATATTTCATCACATTATCAATAAGCTACGAAACCATAGTGCTATAAGCACCGATTTTAAATAATTCTGTTTTATCTATTTTATTTTGGAAATTACCCAGACAAATTATTTCGCGAACTAAAAACACCAACAATTTATTTAATAAAGTTATGATTTCTTTAACATACTTACAGTTGGACCTGGTACGTTCTCCGTTGTTTCGTAAAATAGAGATAACATAAATTATTTGAATAGCAGTGATGAGTTAATTAACTCAAGCAAATATAAAATTTATTTATAATATATTTACAATAACATTTTTATACAAGGTGACCTGATAATTTTTTTACAACTTAAAATAATTTAAATATTTTATATTAACTACAATAAATATATATGAAAATATATAAACCTATTTATTATTACAATAAAATATTGTGGTTCCAGCGAGTTCAATTCGACTAAAGCATAAAATTCGTTGCCTATAACATATCATATTAATCCCATGCCATGTAACTATCGAAAATGAGCATATATTTAAAAATGTGTGTATGCATCGGATCACCGAGAGATAATTTCTTAAACATAATCCGATTAGAATTTATGAAACACTTAATTTATAGCATAAAATTTTGTGCTAAGGGTATTGGAGCATCGGCAATGCAAAAGTAACTGTTCTTTTTTTGTGTCTAAAAGTCTATACAATCAATAGATTAATCCACAATTCTATATATGTGTTCCATATGTGTTCCGCACAAATCTCAAATTCAAATATGGTAAAGCATTTTTGGCGTGCTGGATCTGCGGAAATAGTGGGAACCCAGCCCGACATTCGACAACAATAATTTTATACCTTTAAAAACAAATATTATTATTATATGACAAAATCAATTACAGAAGGTTTTGGGACTCATATAATCATGGGATACATTATGATCGTATTGAGACCCTTATGTCATCTAATTAAACAAATTCAGTAAACTATCTAGTTTCTATTGGCCACAATATTTTCATTAAGTTGACTATACTCATGTGTGACAGTACCACAAAGCGAAAATCATCCAAAGAGTAAACCGTTTGTCTGGAGATAGGTGAACAGTAATATAAAAAGAGCTCTGTTGTTTCTTTCATGTTCTCATCCTGTCAGCTTCTCTGCTGTCAGCAGGTTGTTACTACTCCTTAGTGTATACTCGGAAAAATATTTTTTAATCGCATACTAATTAAATTGACTGGATGATTTTGTTAGAAACATTTTAGGTTGTTGTGAAGAATATATAAAAACAAACATGTAGAATGATTAAGCCAACATGATGTGACGGATAAAATCCTGAAATTTAGTTAAAATCTGGTCAAATCAACAAAATTAGTTGTCTGATTATAGTAGTTCTTGAAAGGATATATGTTCTTTTATGGATTATTTTTTTCAAGTTCAAGTTGTCTTGTTACAAAAATGTTTGTTTGTGACAGGTTGATTCTATCCACCATTTTCTGCTTTTACTCTTTTTTTTTGCCCCATAAGCACAGACCTGGCAGACCTATCTCAGATAATAATATATTATTCGAAGTACAATGGAATCCGGTAAATACGATATATTGTTTCCGATTTAACAAGAATCGCATTTCTACCCTGTAACCCTGTAGTTAACTATTTAACGTCAACCTAACAAGACACGCGATAGTTGCACACCTCTTTTTTAATTTAAAGATTATTTTTAAAAACTCATTTTTCACTTGCATGACATTAAAATAATCTATTATAACACATTAACAAACACATGTGCAACATGCAAATGCGACTTTGGCACAGCACATGTGTTCACGTGAGTTAGCCTCGTTCCATGTGTGAAGTGGTTCCTGCTGCATTGGTGCCTCGTCGCATAATTGTAAGGCGGCCTCGTTTAAAACTGATTGGTTTGGAGTTCGTTTATGTGGATTTTTGTGCCAAAAGGTTAAAGGTTCTCAACATTAAAAACGTTTTAAATTTTTTTTTTTTATTGCACAATTAATTATTAAAAAAATAATTACTTCATCACATACTGACGTTTTATAATGTGTTCTTGAAAATAAGGTAAAATAGTTTTTTAAGAAAATAATGGTTTTTAATATAATACATTGAAGATATACCAGATTAAGATGATCTATGAGCAAGACTGAAGAACATATAATAAATTTCAATTTTAATAAATACATTAAAATCAAATTGTTTGTTTTTTTTATATATCCTCACTAGCTATTATCCTTATCCTTACTATTACCTTACCTTATTACCTTACCGTATTGTTATTTTATTCTTACTAGAAAATAAAATTTTATTACAAATATGTAGTTATATACAATACAGTAATATGAGCTATGGCTAGGGAGAGAAGTAAATTAAGGTGACTGAAAATTGATTTGGGTTGGAACAACATCAGAGATGTGAATATAAAATTGTATATTCAACAATATAAACCTATTTATCTAAATATTATTTAATTATTATACTTAATTTTATTCTAAAAGCCGTATATTAGTTAATATGAATCCCCTACATACTTCACACTACAAATTCTATACCTCGGATGTGAATAGAACTCAAAATAAACAAATTTTTGTTGTGTTTATTATTAAAACCTAACATAAGATACCGCCAATTTTATGGAAGATTGGCAGGCAGTGAACATGTGAAGAGTAAAATGTTATCAGATGCGGAGAGGAAGAAATTGTGGGAATAAGTATCGAGTGGCAAAACTGAAATACTCACACAGCAATACTACACTGCATCACATTGACTGTCTGCCTAACAATTATATCCCAGTGTACATATAAATATCAACCCAATTGATTTGTGACTTCGTTTCATTGAAACAGCCTCTAGTTAGGTATCTCTAGCTAGGCTTAAGCAAGGTCAAATTTCCTTTTACCCAATACTGTTTTTTAACACAATTCCAATTAATCTCTACATACTATATAGTAGATTAAACAGAAAAGCATATACAGGTATGCATGTATATTATTCTGTTCAGCTTCGAAGGAATTTTTGCGTGCTTAAAAAGTAATTCAATATGTTTATAGTTTAGTGCTGTTTAAAGTTTATGATGTTAACTATTTTATTCTTTTTAGTATTTTTATGTTCTTTACATTTATATAGTAATAGTTATATATATTAAACCTAAGTTAACAAAAATTTTCTTACTGCCTGCATTATTATCAGTTCCTCATTTGTTGATTTTTTTTCATCAATTGGTTTAAAGTATTTTTAATCTTTTTATGGAGATATCTTTATTTACTAAAAATCCCTATAAAAAGCTTTAAAAAATGTTTATATGACATCAAAACAAAAAAATAATGTTAAAATAATAAACAAAACTTTGTTTTGTGCGCATAGAACATTTTTTGTAAACTAAGTCTATCTTGTCTATCTTTCTGTTTGTTTACTCTTTGGGGAATTGTTGTCATTCTGGCGTTCTTTTCATAACCCAGACACGTATTTTTTCACACGTTATTTTTTTATGTTAACAAAAAGTCAAAACAGAAAAACTCTTAAAAAAATAAAATAATTAAATAAAAAAAATATTTACATAAAAACAAAAAAAAATTTGTAAAATTTTTTAGCTATTAAAAACCATTTACCATATTTAGTATAATAAAAAATTACAGTGAAAACTCTCTTAACGGGCACTAATTTTTCTAAAAATAATTTTTTTTATTATATTTAGAACCACTTAACGCATTTTGGTCGGATTCCGTTTTTGAACAGACCTAAGTTGTCTAACGACGAATAAGTGTCCCTTTACGAGCGTATTCACTGTGTTATACTAATTATTTTTAATATACAAATTTTTTATAATATTATTAATATTATAAAATAAATTTATTAAAAAGAAAAATTAAAGTAAATCAAAAATTATACTAAATATTATTTATGTTTTAAATTTATCAATTTTTTAAAAATTAAAAATCACACAATATATTTTATTTATATTTAAATTGCAAATTTAATTTAAAAAAATAAGAAATAATTTTTTTTAAATTAATAATTTTATAAACCATTCGTTCTTTTTGACAAAATTTTAAAAGACCGGTAAACGTCTACTTTCATCAAGAATAAAAGTGTTTCTAACAATTTCAAACAATTTTAAACACAATTCGTATCACGTAAAGCTTTCCTCAATATTCTCCATAAATTTGAGTTACTCTCTTGAGTAACTTCGTCTCACAGTAAAATGCTCAATAATCCTACAATTATTTATATGTGAGTGTTGCTTACGATATTAGAAACATTGTAAACAAACAATTTATTTTAATAAAATTTTGTAACCACAAAGATTTTTTTCTTGAAGAGATTAAATCCTTGTTTAGTAATCAAAAACCGAATAATTTTAATATCAATTTCTGATATCTGATTTCTTTGTTTTTTTAGTAATTTATTTTAGATTATGCAAAAATAAATTAATATGACTTTAAATAATTTCATTTTATACAGAGCAACTTTAATGTAAGAAGCGATTTCTTGATTTCAAAACAACAAAAAAAACATATTGATGGAAGGTGTCCTATTTTAATATTATCTGCGATATGGGATAAGTCGAAGCGAAGTCTACACAAGAAAAATAAATTGAACTATAACATCAACAGAATCTTAAAAGTAATCTAATCATACAGCTAAGCTTAGGTAAGTACATATATCTAACATACCTGATATTTATAGAAATATCTATTGCCGCTTGTATAATTTCTTTCGTAAACCTTGTTATATGATTTAATATTCAATTTAAAATAGAAGAGATCTAATTAGTCGATCTCCTAAATATTGACATCGTTTTGTCATAATCGCAAGTTGAAAGATTTTACCTCTTCTTCGTCATGACAATTTCAGCATGATTTTTTTTTGAAAAACGCCACTGTTGAATGTAATACTATAGTACCTATGTTAGTTTTTCAGTAAATACACGAACTAAAGGTTTAAAAACTAAAGATCTTTTGTCCATAAAGTCAGCCGTCATGGAATTGGCAAGTTTGTCTATATAACTAAACAAACAGTTGGCACATCAGGGTCTAATTTTTAATTTATGCAACTCTAAATGTTATTTTTTGTATTGCTGAAGAATTTATGGCTTTCTTCAATAAAAAAATATATAATTTAAAAAAATAAAATATAAAAAATATATATGAAAAAAGAATATAATATGAAAAAACAATATAATATAAAAAAAATAAAATATAAAAAAAATAGAATATTAAAAAAAACCGAATAATAGAACTATTAAAGAA